TCCTTTCAACTAAAGGCTAACCACACAGACAGGGTGGATAGGTTCCTCTCCTAACAGAAGTGGCCATGTGGGGAAGTCACAAAAGTCCTGGGAGGTCAGAATCTGCAGCTTCTGACCATTTTCTGAGATGATGTCTGGCAGCCCTCAGTTTCCCCTGGTTTATCCCAGAGGCCAAACTCCCCTTCCCTTAGCCCAGCGAGGGGCCCTGGCTCCTCCTGAGATGTCAGAGCTGGAAGGTGCCAGGGAGAACCTACTAAGTCCCTCTTAGTGTTAAGCAACGCCAGAAACGGGAAGGGACTTGCCCAGGGTTGCCCAGCAAACCAGTGGGGAAATGGGACTGGGCACCAGCCCCTGTAACTCCAGGTTCAAGCCCAGGTGGACCTTGGGCACACAGGACCCAAGCGGAGGATGGGCTGAAAGGTCGCTTCCTGCCCGGTTCAGAGACAGTGGGGATGGAGGCTAGGGGAGAGGCCCAGGCCCGGGAACGGAGTTTCCCAAAGGCTGCCTGAAGCTTGTCTAGTGTAGGACGAATGCCTCCCGACTCCACCCAGTGGGAACAGGGTCCTGTCCCCAGTGCCTGGGGGCTCTCCCAGATTGCTCTAATGGAACACAGGCAGTGAGACTTGTTAACAGGTATCTCAAAATAGAGCCATCTGTGGGTACACACTGCAAAACCCAGCATCGCTCTGGGGACCTACACACACTGAGGGCTGCGGGACGTCCTGTCATGAAGACCCCTGGCTTGCATGGGTTTGCCCAGTGTTTTCCAAATGCACATTGTGAGATGCAAGCAGGGCGGGGCCTGTGTGCCTTTGCTGGGGGGACCATGTCTGTGAGACCTGACCCTGAGAAGCTTTCAGTCTTCGGGGGGGTGACGGCAGCTCATTGCAGTGGGGTGAGCATCTGTGTGCGTTGGGTGCTGTGAGAGCTCAGAGCTGGGGCCGAACGAAGTCTTCACAGAGGAGTCATGTTTCAGGATGAGAGGGACTGGCAAAAGCCTGGAGGTGGGAACTCACTTGATGTGTGGCAAAAGTAGCAAGGAATTCTGAACTTAGGGTCTGGGGTGCCCCTTCACGCAGCGAGAGACTGGAGCTCACTGTGTCCCAGTGGTCGTTAATGTAATCATCTGTGTTTATTTAACAAACATGCACAGAGCACCCGACAGAGGCTGAGGTGCCCTTGCGCACTTTCCAATAGTGCCGCGTCCAGTCCTCAGGTGAGGCCTATGGGGCAGGGGCTGCAGGGGCTGCTGCCTGCTGATGTCCCTGAGACAGGGAGGAGCTGGGAGGGAGGGAGTCAGACCAGTTTCCTCTTGGACAATCACAAGTTAGTTCAGATGATATTAACCACAGGCCCAGGGCTCAGGCCCAAGGGGCGTCTACCTGGTCTGATCAGAGGTCAGTGGGGGGCTCAGGGCACAGCTTTACCTGCCAGTGAGTGACTGCCCCTGAGCCAGGCTGGGTGGCCAAGGAGGCAGCAGCCCCGAGGGACCTTAGAGAGGGGACTTACACAGGTGGTGGACACATCTGGAGTCTTGCAGAGAAGGGGCCTGGAGTTCCCAAGTAAGTGCTGCCGTCTTGGGCTCAGGGAGCCACCAGGTCTTCGGAGCACCTCCGCGACCCAGGATCAGATCTGAGCCGACCTCATGAGGCTGATCATCTGCTGGACTGACTTCTCGCCAGGTCCCTGTGTGCGTCTATGTGGATCCTGCAAGAACATGGCCAGACAGAGCCAGCCAGAGGGGCGTGGGAGGTGGAATGGGGGTTGTTCTGAGACAGCGGCAGTGAGGAGCAGGATGTCCTGCTGCTCATGAGAGGAAGGTGGTGCCTTGCCCAGGCTCAGTCCTGGCACAGTTACCCTGAGCAAGACCCTGGCACTGGAGTTGTGTGTGCTGCCCTCCGAGCTCACATTCTAGCAGGTAAAGTTCTCTCACACTGGGCATGGAGGGAGAAGCTTGTGTTTCCAGGCTCCTTGAAGGAGCTCCCATTAGGCTGCGCGAGCATGAGCCTGCTTGCCTTTTCTCATCACATCTCTGACCTTTTCTTTTTTTTTTTTATTTATTTTTATTTTTTATTTTTTTCACACAGGGTCTTGCTCTGTTGCCCAGGCTGGAGCATAGTACTGTGATCACAGCTCACTGCACCCTCGAACTCCTGAGCTTAAGCGATCCTCCCAGCTCAGCCTCCTGAATAGCTGGGATTACAGGTTTGTGCCATTACACTTGGCTATTTTTTAAATTTTTTGTAGAGACAGGATCTTGCTATTTTGCCTCATGCTAATATCAAACTCCTGGCCTCAAGCGATCCTCCCACCTCAGCCTCCCAAAGTGTTAGGATTACAGGTGTGAACCACCGCACCTGACCTCTACCTATTGTTAGTTATTTGTGTCTTTCCTCTTTATATCTACATCAGTTTTCACCATAGAGTTGTCTATATTACTCATTCTTTTCAAAGAAAGTTTTTTATTTGATTGATCAAATTCACTTTTGCTTTCTAATTCACACATTTATACTTTTACCTTTGTTAGTTCCTTTGTTTTATTTTCTTGGAGTCATTTTGCATTTTTTCCTATTCCTTAAATTGAATATTCAATTTATCTGCTGTTTCCTTTTATAAAATAAACATTAATTTTGCAAAAATAATACATGCTCATCTTTTTTTCAAATAACTCAAGTGACACATAAAAGTTGAAGGGTTGGGAGGCCAACGTAGGTGAACCACCTGAGGTTAGGAGTTCGAGACCAGTCTGGCCAACATGCCGAAACCCTGTCACTACTAAAAATACAAAAATAATAATAATAATAAATAGCCAGGCGTGGCGGCAGTGGCCTGTAATCCCAACTACTCAGGAGGCTGAGGCAAGAGAATCGCTTGAACCCTGGAGTTGGAGGTTGCAGTGAGCCGAGATCGCATCATTGCACTCCACCCTGGGTGACAGAACAGGACTCCATCTCAAAAAAAAAAAAAAAAAAAAAAAAAAAGCTGAAGGGGACAAAGCAAAATATAAGGTAATGATCATCTCAGAGTCTCGCAAGAATGATTTATTGTCAATGTATGATGATCATTATTCCAGATATCTCTCTAAACATTTAAATAGACAGAATATAAAGAGATACTATTTTACAAAATATGGTCATGCTAATTGTAAAATAAAACATAAATTAAATTTTAAGAAAAAAAGCTAAAGTAAAACTGTAGGAATTATTCATTCAAAATTTTCAAACTTTTTTTCAAAAAAGATGTTAGTTTCTCAAAGACCTCTTTAAAAAAAAACGTGATTATGAAACAATGAAATTGTTAACTATTGTTAATTATTATTAGCAAGTTCCAATTTTCAACTGTATGTTTTCACTTCTTGGTAAGAAAAGTAAAGAAATTAGAACACTTATACTGTCTCCTACCTCTCCTCCTTCTCACTCATGATTTTGTACATTTTATCATTTTTTTTTTACATTGTCAGCCTCTATAATATTAGTATTCTTCTTGGTAACCATACTTCTCACAATTTAGTTTTAGTTGTTGAAGTGAATATTTAAGTAGGTTTGATGTCAAACACTAATCTTCTTCTCATGGCTTTTGCATTTATGAATTTTAATATTTTAATCACTTCTTTGTTGCTTAGTTCGAATTGTTCCAAGTACATTTTTTTCAAAAAGGATCATGGTTGTTGTCTGCCCTGAGCTTTTTCATGCTTGAGAAGGTCTACCTGGTACATACATATATACATGAACGGTTTAGCTAACTGTAACATTCCTGGTTCATACTTTCACTCTGAGCTTTGTACATTTCCCTCTCTCTCTTCTGGAATGGGGTATGGAGATGGACAATTCTGAGAACAAATTTCCACCTTGTATTGTGTGTTAGCTATTTATTGCTGCATAACAAATTATCCCAAAACTGGGCGGCTAAAAACAATACATACTTATTATCCCACAGTTTCTGTGGGTCAGAAATCTGGAAACAGTTTAGCTAGATGATACCGGCTTGGAGTCTCTGTGAGGTTGCGCCTAAGCTGACAAATGGGGCTGCAGCCACCTGAGGCTCACCCAGGGCTGATGTATTTTCTTCCAGGCCCACTCAGATCCTTGTGACATGGGCTTTTTGGGGGTCTTTATGGAGGGTTACTCCCTTGATGAGTGACTGAAGAGACAGAGAGAGACAGAGAGAGAGAGAACCCATGCTAGAATCCACATACTTTTATAACCTAACTTCAGAAGTGACATACCATCACCGTCACTTCCTGTTGCCTTCTGTCACCTACAGATAAACAATTAAGTCCAGCCCACGTTCAAGGGGAGAGGAAGTAAGCACCACATCAACCACAGAAGAATAGAAAGAAGTTGTGTGCATGTATTTAAGACAACCACGTACCAGGAACTGCTTTTTTTTGGTATAGATAACTATCTTTTTTAAAATTTGCCCTTGACATTTGGAGACTTCATCCAGTTACGTCTGAGTTGCAAATTCAGGTATATCTCTAAAATAATTTTCTTTGATTACATCTTCACATATTGTTTTCATTTTACTTATTCTTTCTTCTTTTTCAGGAAAACCAATTATATGTTGGATTTTCTTTGCTTTCATATTTAATATATCTGTAATTATTGTTATAACTATATTGTTTTCCATTAATTTTTTTCATTAACTTGTGTTTCTTCTAGCTTATTTACCATGTCCCTAACTGCGTTTTTAGTTGTGTTTATTCCATGTGCCTCAGTATATTACTATTTGTGTATAGATTTACTGCAGAGCGCAAAAGCACATAAAAACAGCAAATATATTCTATATGCAAACAGCTATACATAGTTGCTGCTTTTAATGTGGTCTTGTGCTCTGTATTATTTTTGCTTTTTATTTCTTTTCTAGGCTCTTCCCCTTTCTCTTAATCATCTAATCACATTCTGTGGCCTTATTATCTCTTTTTTAAAACTTTATACTTTTTCTTGAGCTTCCTGCTATTTTTTAAAAGACCAACCATGGGGATTTTTTTCTTTTTTTCATGTCAAACAGGTAATGTGCTGAAGTTGTAACAAGGTTTAAGGGAGACACATCTCATATATGAGTGTGAAAATCCAATCATCACTTATGAACCACAAAAGGATCTAGATAGTTTTTCTAGCTTTTCTGAAATTATAAAGAATTGTTTGCGTAAATTCTTTCAGTGTCTAGTTGAAGGCTGAAATTCATCCATGATGTGCGCACTTCATCTGCAGTGTGCCTGCAAGCTAATTTCTTCATCCCCTTTTTTCCTTTTTTTTTTTTTTGAAATGGAAGTCTTGCTACATTGCCCAGGCTGGTTTCCAACTCCTGGGCTCAAATTATTTTTCCGCCTCAGCCTCCTGAGTAGCTGGGACTACAGGTGTGCAACCCCATGCCCAGATCCTCATCCCTTTTCGGTAGCATTTTTGTATGCATCTCAAATGCCACCAATGAGTGCCATGGATTCAGATGGGGAATTAAATTCACAGTTACAATCATCTTTAGTTTAATACGCCATGCCGATAGCTCCACAGAAGGACACAGGGCACGGGCTTCAGCATTCACTACCTCTTCATCTGACTGGAGGTTCCAACAGCAGCCCAGGCACACAACTTACTACATTCCCTTACCCACACGGGACAAGGGCAGCTGCAAGACTAAATGCTCGTGGGCAAACTTGACACAAAAGCATCCCTTCAGTTTCTCACTAGTTTTTTCTATTATTCTGATCATATAGGCCCAACCCTGATGCCCACTCACAGCTCCCCATTCAGGTGTGAGCCCATGGACGAAGGAGGAACAGAAAAGAAAGTGCACACAACAGGACATGTGTATCCACCCCTGTAATTTCCAAGGAAATGGCACTGAGAGAGGAGGCTGGAGGTAACTTCCCCAGGTAGGCCACAGTCAGTCCAGGTCTGGTCTCAACCATTTTCTCACAGAACCCTTGCTGGCTTTTTCTAAGCATCACTGTTTCCTTAGGATTTCACTTGTCCAACCAGAAACCTCTGTGGCCAGTGGCGCCTTTGCCCGAGTTTTGCTCAGGCCTGCTGGGCTCATTCCTCCCACTCAGCCCAGCAGGCTGCACTCAGCTCACCCTACCAGTCCAGATCCCCACCTGCCAAGGGTGATCCAGGCTTGCAGTGGCAAGAGGCATGTGAGTGAGTGAGTGTGGGGTCTGGCCACTGCCCATAGCCAGGCATGCCAGCTGCTGTGGCAGGGTGGGTAGCTCCAGGCGCTGGCACAGGTGACTGCTCCACGCAAAACTGCAGCTGGATCAGATGTACCACAAACAGCTTCTGCTGTGGGTACCCGCATCTGGACAAGGGAAACATGGCAATGCCCAGAAGCCAGGAGCTGCAGAGCCCCAAAGAGGGTGTCACAGCCCTGGCTTGGGAAGCCTCTAGGTCTGGGCTCCCCAAAGGGCCACAACTCTTCTCTCCATCTTGTCGCTTGCAATGTGGCAAGCAGCGGGGGGCATGTTTCAGCCCTGTCAGTCCCACCATTCAGTGGGTCCTGAGTTCTTGTCCCATGTCCAGGAAGAACAAGATACACGGACAACTGGAGGGTGAGCAAGGTGGAGAGGAGTTTTATTGAGCAACAGAACTGCTCTCAGGAGACCCAAAGTGGTTAACTCCCTTCGGCAGGCAGGTTATCCTGATAAGTGTCCGGCTCTCAAGTGGAAAGGAGACCTGTAGTGGGTAGCTCCTTTCCACAGGCAGGTCGTCCTCACAAGTATCTGAGCCTGGATTAGTCTGGGGTTTTTATGGGCTCAGAAGGGAGGAAGTGCATGCTGATTGGTCCATGGGTGGCCATGGGTAAGCCTGGAAAAAGGACCATAACTTCTCACTTTGTGCTGCAGCCTCCATCCAAAACTGGTAGCCCAGGCCCCAGGCTTCAGGTCATCCCTGACTTGAAGGTGGGGTTTCACTGGGGACCTGTCCCTTCTTGCCCAGGAACCTGTCTGACATTAACATGCCATCCATGGCACCCAGACTGTCCACACCGAGAGGTGCCCAGAGACATGCCAAGCTGCCCTTCCCACCCCCACCCCACCAGCCCCCTTCAGTGCTCATCAGTGCCCAAAGTCTGGAGGTGGCTGAGGGAGCAGGGGGCTGGTGTGTGAGCACCAACCTGAGTGCACTCACGCCCAACTGGGTTATGACAGTACCCAGGCTTGGCCATAATTTTCCGCCCTAGAGCAAGTGCTGGGAGCAGGGAGAGCCCAGAGAGCAGGAGCAGGCACTATCAAGCCTACAGGGGCAGGGAGCTTCCTGGGCCCCTGAGAGCACAGGGATGCTGGGGTCTGGAGCCACAGCTGGGCTGCTGCAGCTACACCTGAGAGCTTGGGCTTCTGCCCCACCAACTCAGTAGGGGGCAGGGCTCTCACCCGTTCCCAGCTTCCACTGGCTGTGTGTCCCCTGCTGCAGCTGGCATCCTCCCAGCAGCTGCTCCAGATGGGCTGTTGCCACCATCAATCCCCTCTCTGAAGAGGTACATCTAATGGCCATTAGGATAGGTTGATGACTGCTCTTCAACAGCTTCTTGCTGACAGGGGGATCTGTCTCAGAGGCTTATCTAAGGGATACCTACTAAAAAGAGAGCAAATTGTCCAAGGCTCCAGTTGCATGACCGCTTGGAATTTGATGGTCTCTAGGTGAAAAGAAACAAATTTTACAAGGAGGTTAAGTATGCTGAGAACAACATTTGGGCCACTTGATAGGTTTTATCTTTACCAAGGTGGAAACCTTGGTGGAGGATTTTAAGAACTTTCCATTGACTGGAAGCTTGTAAATGAAGCTTGCTGTCCTCTGATTGCAGCCACCCAAAAGGTGGACCATTCTATCTCCACAGAAGAATACTGGGGTTTTATTTCTTTTATGGAGCCCTCCCAGATCAGAAATCTGGGGCCCTCTTGCTACTGGCTTAGCTGCTTCATCTGCCAACTTATTTCCCTCAGCAATTTCATCTGTCCCTTTTTGGTGGCTTTACAATGTATTACTCCACTTCCCATGGAAGGAAGTCTGAGGATAATAGTCTATTGACTTCCTGATGGTATTTAATGGGAGACCCATTGGCTGTGAGAAAGTCTCTCTCTTTCCAGATGGTGGCATGGGCATGGAGGACTAGGAAAGTATACTTAGAATCAGTATAAATGTTAAGTTGTTTCCCCTTGCTTAATTCAAGCTCCTTTGTGAGGGCAGTTAGCTTAGCTAGTTGAGCACTTGTGCCCGAGGAGAGAGGCATGCTCTCAATAATGTCATTCAGGGCGACTTCTGCATACACGGCCTTACAGATCCCTTGCTTTACAAAGGAACTTCCAACCATAGAGTTCGGTCTGGGTTCTCTAAGGGGGTTTCTTTGAGGTCCTCTCTGGCCACATAGCTTTGCACTGCTTTCTGTTTGCAGTCATGTGCAAGCTCCCCAGCCTCCTCTGAAAGGAAGGTGACTGGGTTTAGGGAGGGACAGATTCTTAACTGAACTGCAGATCCCTCTAATAGCAGAACTTGATATTTGAGGAGGCAGTTGGCTGTTAGCCAAAGACTTCCCTCAGGAGACAGCAGTCCTGCCACATTTTGTGGGGTATAAACAGGTGAGTTATTCCCCCATGAGAAACTTAGCAGCCTCTAGTACCAGCAAAGCTACCACTGCAACTGCCCAGAAGCAGGCCAGCCATCCTTTAGCTACCAAATCAAGCTTTTTGCTTAGGTAGCCTACAGTCTGCTGGGCTGCACCTTGGGACTGGGTTGGAACCCCCAGGGTTATTCCCTTCCTTTCTGAGACATAATGATTGAACATTTCCCCAGTGGGAAGACTAAGGACTGGTGCCTCAAGCAAGGCTTGTTTTAACTTGTCAAAGGCCCTGTTAGCCTCTGGTTCCCAAGTTAGGGAGTGGGTTTTAGCTGCCTGAGTTTCCTTTATTAGGTGATATAAGGGACAAGCTATTTCACCATACCCAGGTATCTATAACCTGTAGAATTCTGAAATGCCTAAGAATCCCCTCAGTTGTTTGAGGTTTGGGAGAGGGGAAAGGAGGAGATAGGCTTAATCCTTTCTTTGCCTAGTGCCTTGGTCCCCTCTGACAAGACTAGACCCAGGTACTTCACTGAAGTCTGACAGGACTGAGCCTTGGATTTTGAGACCTTGTATCTTCTGTTAGCCAGAAAATTAAGAAGAGCCTTACTACCCTCCTGAGAGATTTCTTCAGTTGGGGTACAGAGATAATGACATCTACATATTGTAAAACCTTAACCTGAGGATAAAGGAACTCAGAGAGATCTTTTTACAATGCCTGTCCAAACAGGCTGTCTCAGAATCCCTGAGGTGGCACTGTCCAGGTTAGCTGGGTGGACTGGATGAGGGATCCTCAAATGCAAACAAATACTGGGAGTTGGGGTGTAATGGTATGCAGAAAAATACATCATTTAGGTTCAGGACTCTGAACCATTAATTCCTTCAGGTATTTGAGAGTGTAGGCATTGGGAACCACCAGATGAATTGGAACCACAGCCTCATTAATGAGGCTGAGGTCCTAAACTAGTCTCCATACCCCATTGGGTTTTTGTACTCCCAATATTGGGATACGACAAGGGCTACTGCAAGATTTGAGGAGGCCCTACATCCTCAAGTTATTGATGATGGCTTCTAGTCCTTTCCTAATTTCTGGTTTCAGGGGATATTGTCTTTGGATACGGAAGGAGGTAGGATCCTTAAAGTGGATCCAGACCAGTGTGATGGTTGTGGCTCAGTCAATTTTCCCTTGAGTTGCTCAAACTTCTGGGATAATACTGGTCTCCACTAGGAGGAGACGAAGTGTTTGTCCTGGAGCCATAAGGATGGTGGTTCCCATACAAGCAAAAATATCCCTGCCCAACAGAGGAGCTGGGCTTTCAGGCATGATTAAAAAGTCATGAGTAAACAAGAGGTCTCCCCAACTACAACTAAGGGGTTGGGGAAAACATAGGGTTAAAGGCTTTCCTGAGATGCCCCTCATGGATGTGTGAAGAGAAGAGGGGGGCCTAGATTGGAGAGGAGAATTGAAAGGCTTATTCTGGTTTCCAGAAGAAGGCTCACCTTCCTCCCTTTGGCTTCCAGAATCACCTGGGCCCTTGAATGGTAATGG